AGGAGGCTCACCTGATGTTAAGTGACACCGCCGCCCATGGACACTCTCAATGCCAGAGGGCTCGCGAGTGCGTTGCCGGCCTTTTAAGAATTGGTACGCTCTTTTCTTGAAGGACCCTAAGTCGAATTGGTTCGGAAATACTTCAGTGGGCAGCTGATTCCACATAGTGGTGGTGCGCGGCAAAAACTGCCTTGAAAAACGCTCAGTTGTGGAACGGCGGACGTCGAGGTGATACGGGTGGAATTTCGTATTCTGTCTCGACGTCCGATGATGAAACTCAGCTGCAGGTATTAATCCGAACAACTCCTCTGAACACTCTCCATGGTAAATGCGGTAGAAGATGCAGAGTGACCCCACATCTCTACGCAACGCCAAAGGATCAAGCCGTTTGGAGAGGGATTGGTCGTCGACGATTCGAACCGCTCTGCGTTGTATACGGTCAAGTGGAAGGAGCTGGTACTGGGGGGCCCCCGCCCAGAGGTGAGAGCAGTACTCCATGTGGGGCCGAATTTGCGCTTTATATAGTTGCATGCGGTGGCCCGGAGTGAAGTACCGCCTCGCCTTGCTGAGCACACCAAGCTTTTTGGAGGCTAATTTAGCCTTTCCCTCCAAGTGACCGCGAAACTGAACGTCGTACGATATGTCAACGCCAAGTATTCCAATGCTGGCTGTGGCTTTAAGAAGAGTGTTTTCGAAAAGAGGAGTAGCGACAAAGGGTGATTTTTTAGCGGAAAACGCGCAAACTTGTGTCTTCTTGGGGTTAAATTGGACTAGGTTTTGTCTGCCCCAGTCTGAGACTCCACGTAGTAGGGTTTCGACTTCAGACACAAGTTTGTTCCGGTACTCATCAACAACTGCCCGAGAAATACCTGCCCGGCCAGTGTAAAAAGTATATGCATGTTGCTAAGTTGCAACATATCATTGATATGCAAAAGAAATAGGGTCGGGGATAGAACACAGCCTTGTGGGACCCCAGCGTTCACAGGTTTAAGGTCGGAACATGCTCCGTCGATGACGACCTTGATGCTCCGATCGGCCAGAAAGCTGGAGATCCAATCGCATAATTTCTCGGGAAGCCCATAGGCTGGAAGCTTCGAGAGCAGTGCTCTGTGCCACACCCGATCGAAGGCTTTCGCTATGTCCAAACTTACCGCCAGCGCCTCCCCCTTGGACTCAATTGCCTCTGCCCACCTATGGGTAAGGTATACAAGGAGGTCACCAGCTGAGCGACCACGACGAAAGCCGTACTGAGAATCGCTAATCAACTGGTGGCCCTCTAGATACCACAAGAGCTGGCAATTAATAATGGTTTCCATTATTTTGGAGAACAAGGAGGTTATAGCTATTGGGCGATAGTTGGACGGATCAGAGCGATCGCCTTTTTTAGGGATCGGATGTATCGAAGCGGTCTTCCAGCACTTCGGGACAGTGCCGAGCGAGTACAGGTACCGGAAAAGGCGCGTTAAGACCGGAGCCAACTCAGGAGCACAAGTACGCAGCACAATTGGGGGGATACCATCCGGCCCGCTCGACTTATGAATGTCCAAGGAAGATAGTGCTTTGCGGACAGCACGTTGCCGGAATGTGATTTCCGGCATCGAAGAATCACACCGCGAAATGGTCGGTGGTGATCTTCCTTGGTCATCCAAAGTCGAGTTGGACGCGAAGAGACAGCCCAAAAGGTCGGCCTTCTCCTTCGCAGTGTGGGCCTGAGAGTCATCCTCCCTGTGCAGTGGCGGAATGGCGGGCTGACAAAAATTCCCTTGGACAGCTTTGGCGAGAGACCAGAAGGCTCGAGTCCCTGAAGGGAGCTGGGCCAATCTCTCGCCAAATCTGGCAATGTGCTCTGACTTTGCCTTAGTGATTTCCCGTTTGAAGAACCTGGAGGCTGAGTTATTTTTTGCTCTCTATTTAATCTATGCTTTTTTTGGTTTTTGTATTTATTGTTTATTTTTTTTCAAGTCTTTAGTTTTAATTATGAAATGTGGCTCTTCAGACACCAAGGTTCATTTGACATTTTTCACCAGTGATTTTTTGGTGCTCCTGTTGTATGTATAATGATTAAGGAATAAAAAAAATTGTGCGTGTACTAGGTGTACACACGTAAGAAGTGAAACTTCTTTATGATCTTATTTTTCGAAAAATGATCTACTATATGCAACTTTACAGAAATTCGTTAAATTAGATAAAGTTTAACAAAAGGCTTTTATTATCATAGACATGAATACAAATATTTCATTTTACCTTATTACTACGAAGATTATTCTAGAATTTCATTTATTGTAATAGAATTATTACTATCATTGAAAAACGTGACGATTTGCTACAAAATTTCTCCCATACGTCGATAAAGAAGTTTCATTCCAACGCCGATAAAGAAGTTTGACTTCAAAAAGCAACATGGCGCGTAACCGAAAAATGTGACGCGTAACGAAAAAATGTTACACTACATTTTTTTCCAACCTCGATAAAGAAGTTTCACTTCAAAATCATAATAAAAGAAGTGAATGAACCAACATTGAGACAAAATAAAATTAAACTAGGTACACAGTATGAGGAAATATGTAGGTAATTATTTTTATAAATATTATCGCTTATATGATTTATAGTCTATAAACAAAATATTAATGAGACCCGTTTTTTTGATTAATATGAAATATATTTGGAATACAGAATATTTAATTATAGTGCAATAACCTTTTTTTTGACAATTATATTGACAATATTACTTAATTATCCCGTTTTGTTTTGCTTACATTTCAAATTGTACAATGTACATATTATCACTGGCTGAATTTAAAAAACTAATGAAGAAAAAATTTAAATAAAAAGTACGGTTATTGTATAAAAAATATTTAAGTCTTTAGACATCTTAATACTAGACACGCGTGCCACAGATACTTAAAGGAACAAAAACTTACCACTTCTCAAGTATTTTATTGTCTATAGTACAATACCCATGGTTGACCAGCTTAACACTTTTTTGCTAGTACTTATTTCCTCTCTTTAAACAATCCTATTTTATGATGCACTTAAAATACAATAGCGTGGTTAAATATTTATTTTAGATACTAAAAATTTTAACAGTATAGGTAACGTCCGTCAACTCCGTCAAGGAGGACGGAGTTATTGATTGTTGTATCTTAGTGCAATTTTGAGAATAATCATTTCGCATGAAGGGTTATCATGAATCTAGAGAATATTATATTTATGTACCTACTATGAATACTAGTAGATTAAAATAAAACTTGTCTTGGTCGATTCGAATTAATTCCATTAATATTTGCAACGAGAACTCAGATTTAAAAAGAATATAATAGCAAATTTAGTTGATAATCAAGAATTATACATCAATTTGCATGCATTATAAGATAGATCGTAAAAAACCGACTGATAAGAATAACCTGTTTTTAATGTATTGCAATGCAATGTGGCGCCTATATTAATTTTGAGAATTCGCTTTATTATTTCTGATGCTGTTTCCTGTGAACGGTTAGTTTTTAAGTGCGAATATTCGTAACAATAGCATTCATTAAAATTATAGTAGTCAGTAAAATTACGAACATTAAATTTATTATTTTCGAAAATAGAATCGTAATCGTTTAAAGTATGTCAAAGTAAACCGGAAATGAAATGATGCAATTTCCTGTTTTGGATTCATTGAAGGGTTTTTAATTTTGCATTTTATAGTCTATAGACATTTTTTATTATTACATAAAAAGAAATAAAATATATCATGGTTGTTGAGAGTATTACTTCAGATTGTATTTTATGTATTAAAAACTGGTAGGTAGCCGGTAGGTCAGAAAAAAATAAATTACCCACTAGCGTGATCAAAAAAACGTTTAATCTTCGAAAATCTTTGAATTTTGATCGTCTAGTTTATAAATACATACTTGATGTAATGACATTCATGACCGTTACGAAAAAGACGAAATGCCAACGGACCACGTGCCAAACCTACCTATATAACTCGAAATGACCATCACAAAGATACGTATACATAGTACTATCCATTCATAAGAAACAGTTCATTCATACGGGCTCGAGACTGGTGAATGGGAGCGAGTGAGAGGCAAGACAACTAAGCTCGCGTTACAATGGTAAAACAATACGTTCCCGAGAATTGTTTAAACAATCTTCTAGGAATTTCCGTTTCGAAACGATTTTGTTTTTGGACGATTGTACGGTGGCGTTCCGTTGAAGTGGTCATTGATCGGCTTAAGTGGAATTATTATGGATTCATTGTTTAAGGGAATAACTATAGATCGTAAAATACAAAAGATTTTTTTTATACTGCCGATACTATGATCCTTTCAATTTTGTAGATAAAGGATTAATATCGAAGTAGGTTCAGCCTGCATTAGTAAAGGTTTTTACTTTTTATATTTTCTTGAATTTTTATTTCAAACTTGTATTGTAATGAATTTATTAAGAATTTAATCATAAACATTATAAACGCAGCTTAATACACAAGCAACGAGATTGTGTAAAAAAACATCGTCGGTGGAAGTCAACCCCAGTCGGATTTAAGAATTTTGATCCGTTGATATTTAAATAATAAATTTTAAAACACGGTATTCAGAAAAGCATTAGTTTCTGATCTATACATACTTATAGGACCTTGAAATTAATATTTATAAATTGAAGTTACATTCAGATATGTTTCGACCACTTTTAAACAAATACATAAACATACATATTCCATAATTCAATTCATGGAACATAAAAAATCAAGGTGCTTTGGTGGTATCGCGAAAATGTAATGATAAGTTAAACTTCAAAACAACATCTCTCAGTATGAAGCTAGATACAAGCTTTCGAATCATTGTTAAAGTACGTTTTTTCTTTAAAGTACTAAACCGATACAGTCGCAGTATAAGGTGGTTATACCGAGGCGTAGGCCAAGTCGTACCTGCGACGAGCGTGCCACAGCCAGTCCGAACTTAACCGACCCGCGAACTACTCGCGCGCGACTAAACACTTTTTGTGACGTGATCATGCAAGTGCTAGCTTTATTCGTCTTCGTGTGGCTCCTTAACGAAGTCCGGGGCGTTATCAGAACACCCCTTGAAGCCTTCAGGCCCTCAGCCGAAATACACATACGTCGACCGGACAAATTGCCTCTTCTACCTCATAGAAGGACGATGCAACAGAAAAGCGGGCTTAAGATTCTGTACCAAACAGGCGTAAGTATTGTATGTAATCTATACTTTTATTAAAGGTGGATATTATTTTGCGTTTTGCGGTACGAAGGTATTGAGTATTCGATTGCACTGCGAAATACCTTTTCCAGTATTTCGTGAACTTCAAATAGAACGTGTCTGTTATCATTTTATGTATGCAATATAAATGATACAAGAAAATAATTTACTCACATTAGAGGCGAAATGTCGAAATTCTTGTTTCAATTAAGTTTGTTCAGCGAACACGCGAAACGAAAATTAGGCGATAAATAGAAATCTAAAAATACAACAATTGTACCGGAAAAATTAACATTCTTTTACAAGCTTTCAAAATTCTAAAAATAAGAAACTTATTTATGTTGATATATGTATGTTATAAAGCTTTTATCCTAATCCTACTCAGACGACATCAGTATAACAAAAAATATTAGGTCCCCTTCAAAAGCTATTCAAGCAACATTCCACTACTCGTGAGATCGCTTTATCTTACCAAGAAGTCAATTTTATTAAGCTCTCGGAAATAAGCTAGAGGAAATTATTCGAATTCGTTCGCTGGCAGAGGAAACATCTGGTAAAAATGTATGATTCGTCATACAGATACCAGGAAGGGAACACCCGACAATTAACCCAATTAAAATTGCTCTTGCGCACACGTGGCACCAAGTGCCCGGTCCCGATCAAAGTCTTGTACCTCCAACAAATTACAAACAAAATTAATCTGTCACCGATTTCCTTTAAGTTAGCCATGCGATCAACCGCAATAATGATACCGAGTTTAATAAAAATAGAAAAGGAGTCACGGATATCAAGTTTTGTAAGTCATATTAAAAACAACGTTAATCATATTATTATGCCTAATTTTAAAGTCGATTCAAGATAATCGTTCTAAGCTGTAATTGCGTGTATTCGAGATGTAATGTTAGAAATATGTTTTTATCACCGAAAATGAGCTGTATCGTTCGCAGTTTAAAAGTCAGAATGCTGTGAGATTTCTTTGGTTTTAAGGGTTATATTATGGAATTGGTGTTGTGCACGCTTGCGTAGGAGCATGCGTAACACCGGTAGCGGCAGGTGTTCATTCACTCATTCTTATCTTGACAGCTTTGATGACTTACGAGGCTCCGTCCCGGGCAGTGGGTACTATTTGATAAAAAAAGCTTTTTTTCTTCTTTTTGTGTCACTGGCTTTAAACTGATTTGTAACGGTAACCTTTTCGTTTTACATCTTATTGTGGAATGGAATTTAAGAGTTATCTTCGTTTATTCATATGCCAGAGATAGTTCGGAAAACTTAGCTTTATTACTTTTAATCTCAGCTTTAAGATTTTCAAATAAAAAAACGTCGATAAAATATCTAACATTTTGTCTAAAGATCATACAAGCAGTGAATATGACAGAAATGTCTCATTCTATTAGGGGGCTTTTCAACAGCTTCCTGTACTTTAAAGGATCAATGGACCGTTCAAACAAAGAGTAACCAACCTAAGATTTGTATGACAAAACCACAGAAGGGAAGATCATCCGCTTTGGTATCATAGTTACAAGTTCAAAGGGATAAATTACACATAGATTGAACTTTTCATGCACTTCTTTAATGAATTCTTTTTTTATATGACCTCTAGTTATATATACTTTAGAATAGGAGTGTTCATTAAATTCTTTACGTGTTTTCTATTTTTGGAAGCTTTTATAACAGATTTCGTGTAAAACGACGGGGTACAGCTAGGCATTAATAAATGTTGCTAAAAGAAGTTGCTACTATCATAATAAAATGCGTTAGGTTTTGATTTTTTTAGATATGTACTAATAGTTTACTTTAAGCGATAAATATTCTGTGCAGAATATTCTGTAGTGTCAAGACAAATAATACAATAATACATCTATTGGAATAGTGTGAAGGTCTAATTTGGGCTGTTGGTGACAGCTAATAGAATAATGTAGATACAATTTAACCATTACCCAACAATGCCAATATGATTGAATAGACGCCAATCTAAATTTAAACTAGACTAATACTAGGTCTAGAAAATTACGGTTTTGTAACGTCTGGTATAGATTAGTGTTTCAACGGAATATTTGGCTTTTGAAAACAACAATGACGCATTACACAGTATACTGGTGATACAAATTATTAAAATTAGATCATTATGTATAAATGCGATGTATATGTATATTGCAACTGTTTATGTGTGTGTATTTTGTTTACTTAGCAAAATATATAGCCTTTATGCTACAACCTTACCTCATTCCTTTCTTAATTTTATTTTCATATTTTAAAAGCGGAATCTACCAGAGCGTGAGAGAAATCAATGTTCAATAAAGGTTGATTACAACTGCATAAAAGTAATGCGATTTCAATTAAACGAATCGGTTCATTAGTCGAAATGAAATCGCAATTTCCATGTGTCGTATAAATATCCGATAGGATGACAAGAAACGTCGAGACGGACATAACGGGAGCCCAGCAAATGGTACCGCCGGACGCCTGCGCGGACGCAGAGGAAAAAATATTTAATGCATGAAATTTCCTTTCCACTTGAATCTTTGCTAAATCAACTCAGCTTAAAGTAAATTTCCGGATTCACAGCTTAGAACATTCGTTTGGTTTAAAGAACGATAGCTATCTAGCTACATGTAATTTTTTTTGTAGGTAGAATAAAAAAGATATAATTAAAAAGGTTTTACATGTTCCAGATATTTTTTATTAGTAATTTAATCTTATAGTCCCGTAAATAAAGGTTCATTAATAACAATTTACAAAAGTGGAAGCAAGTATATTCGAAATTCGAATCTTATTTTTGCCATTACATCAGTTGCGTTGGTTGCTATTGACACAGATTACTTATATTATAACCATATAAAGGAATGTCATGCAATTTAATATTTTATGCAACATTCTATAGTCCATAGCTATCGCGGCCTACGTGATTGAGTCTATGGGGAAGTCGCCATATTTGGTCGAACTACATTTTACGGAAGCCTGTTTATTGTGAATATTTACATACAATTTACATCTTAGCGGAGGTGGTAAAACCAACTACTGTTATAAACATACATATATGGTGAACTGAATGAAATTTAAAGCAGTATAGACTTTCTAAGGGCGCAGGGTTAGGATAAAATATTATTCTTATTGATTTATAAAATACTTTTAATGTCGTGTCTTTTTGAGTAAAAAAAAAAAACAAGTTTTTTTTACGCAAACTAAGTATTTACTATTTCTTTTAGTTTTTTGTGTTTCTTAAATCACCTACCTAGCTAATCGTTTAAGTCCAGGATATTATAATAAAGGACTTTTCTTGTTTAATAAATTATTAGATGTATGTATGTAGGTATACCTACAATGGCCTGTTTAAAATAAACAATTTTGAATTTGGAATAAAACACAAAATCCTTGAGGTTTTGAAACTTTCAAAGGGTCTTTCACTCGACTGCCCTTGATATATTTGCAATATTACTCAATATTCTGGTTATTCAACATTCAGAAATAGTAATAAATAATTCAGTTGAAGACACGAGTCTAAGAACAGTAAAGGTAAAGACATGCTTAAGGCGAGGACAAATTATTGCTGATTTCAAGTAATGAACTATCCTACATCAGAGATTAACATAGTGACCCATTATTTATTATTAGAATATTATTTATTTCACGTACTAACGTCAAAAATACATAAGCTATAGAAGATTTTTTCCAAACCAAGCGTATGTATAATTCCATATTATTGCAATTATTAAGTAATGATAATTTAATTATAGTAATATTAAAATCAGTACAGAACTTTTTATTTTTAAATTTCTTATTGGTATAATTTCTTTATGGAGTCACTACAAGGAGTGAAAAGCAAAAACTAATAGGAGATTCGAAGCACCTGCCTTACGCGACAAAAAAACGAATACTTTTTGTACTCTATCTTAGAAAATAAACAAATCGACTGAGACCGGAAAGTTTTGATTTCTGTTTTTTCATGTTCTATTATGATGATTGGTTTTTGTTTGTAAAAAATTCAATCTTAAAACTTGGAACTTGGACTTTAAGCTTTGGCTTAGGTGTTGACAAAGAAATGTTAGTAGGTACATAATTTTGTCAATTGTATTTCAAACAGATAACTTTAATTTCATTCCATCCGAGATCCTTTATTACTATATGTAACACATTATAATTGTCCTTTAATACATAATAAAAAGCACCTAAAAAACTAATATTACATAAACATAATTTAAATTATACTTTAGAACCGTAAAACATGGTGCGGTTCTCATATCGAAAAATAAAAATCCTTTTTAAAAGATAATAAAGAATTTCATTCATACATAGTTGCTCAAAGCGTCTCAACGAAATCTCGTCTTTTATCATTCCCACTCATCCTTTTCAGTTGGGCACACTTGAGGAATGGGGTTTCCGATTGAGGACACGTGTACCATCAATGCCTCCTCCGGATGCCCTTACAATGGTGTAAGATGGCGTGTCTCAATACTCTGCGGGCCGGTCTAATGTTACGTACATTCAATAACATTTATCAAAACTGTAATGCAATCCATCACAGCATCGTATAACAAAATAGAGAAAGCAAAAATAATATTGTTTTGCGTATGAAGATGAAACTGTTAAATCCCGGTTTCTTAACATTACTTACCTTACCTTAACCAAGTAATAACGAACATAATAAAAACTAACCATAATATTCTTAATACATATATTTCTACCTTATAATCGCAAGTTGACTATCCAATGCTCAATCTACTAAACAAAATCGAAATATGTTATTTAAGAATTGATACATCAAAATGTGTCTCAGATACAAAATAAAAATATTTTATACAGACGACTAATTAAATGATAATTAACAATATCGTGGCACTGAATATGTGCAAGTACTAAGTATTGATGTAATTCCTGGTTATTGGACACCTATTGCATACAATGAAGCTATATGAGACGAGTTAATTAAATGGCGTGCGTGCGCATGAGTTTCCGGCGCCGTTGATGTCTTTTGAACGAACAATTTGTACGTAGGTATTAGGTATATAGCGTAGTGAATAAAGCACATTTTTATGTAACCGTATTTCGTAATAGGCGTATAGTATTATAAAAATACGCTTAAAATTATTTATTTTTAATTAATCGACATTTCGCGTGCTTTAAACAGCAAGGTCAAGTTGACTTAGTAACTTAGATCTAACTTAGCACGAAAATTTAAATATCATAATTAATATGTTAGATTTTATTTGGCATCACTTTCATTTCTATATATTGAGAAGACTATATAATATCGGATAATGTACAGATTAAATAAATATACAAATATTGTTATTTGTTACAGTGTGTAAAGCATATACACGACCTTACGAAATGTAAATAAGTAGAATGTAAAATTAAACAACAGTTACACCTACGATACAAAAAACGGAGATAGTGGAGGCGTGTGCCCACATAGCCCTTCGAAGGTTGTGGAAGGTCGTTTGGTCATAGTTTACTTTAAGGCTGTCTACACACGAGTTTGTTTTATATAACCAAGGAATATCAGAACAACAAACTAATATTATAGTGTAGCCTAGAATAGAGTTTCGTAATAAAATAAGCAATTTTCGTCGATTATTATTTGTATAACAGATCTCTTAGGTTGTCCAAAATCGGCAGGCAGCCGCAGCCTGTATGAACAATCTTCTATAGGTGCGTGTGCGCACCTGTTCACACCGGATACCCCTCTCCCACGCCTCACCCAAGAGAAACATCTCGAACAACAAAAAGAGATCCTATTTCATCTCGTGTAAGTCCATTTTTACATTGCAAAGCCAGCATCCAAGTTTCAATCTTCACCCTTTTAATGTTCACGCCAACATAGTTTCTATATTACACGCAATAGGGTTTATTATAATTTCACCAATAAAGGAAGCGTGCTTTAAAACTGTCGCCAGCGGGCAGCGGTCAAATGACGTTAAAAAACCAAATTAATAGGTGTGCACCCCAGAAATAATGTAAAATACTTAATAAGTCACGTTATAAAATTATCGATAAACATAAAAATAAATTTATTCATGTGACTAAAAAAATCTATTTTTTACATATGACGGACTCAACATAATGTCGGGACAGAACGAATGAACAGCGTTTAACAAGTCACTTTATGATATGATTTTAGGTTAAGCAGTCGTGATACATTTAAAAAAAAGTTACCTTATTTTCCTTTGGATAGGTATATATGCCAGAAAACCGTTGGAATATAAGTGTAGGTCTGATTCAGACTTCAAAATTTGCTTCGATATGATTGTTGGCTAGTCATTTCATAGAATGCTTTCATACTAAGCATAAAAGCAATTTAGTAACGACATAAAAACTACATTTTAACGTTATTTTAGTGTCTAGACTTAGTATTCAAAACATCTAATAAAAATGACTTATGTATTGTCAACCTCGATTGATATTCATCGAAGTCTAAAAAGCGCATTTCTTATAAATGCGATTAGCATTCAGCGCGATATGCAAGCTCCGTTAAGCCCCTATACCCACACAATAAATAATATGATTTATTTATACATTTATTGTTTTGCATTAAATCCATTGAAGGGTAAATTAGCAGGTGGCTCTCAAGTCAAGAACTCAACAAACCATGTATTGTGTTTTTGTTTTCGTTACAAAAGGGCTATATCCGGCTTTTGATCCGTCCAAGGCAGTTTCCGCGAAATACATCGCAATGCACAAGAAACGGAAGTATATCCGGAACAACAAAAAATGTTTTCACGCCCCTTAGGGCTTAGGCCTGTCTCTTGGAACATTAAAATATATCTCATGGTTATTCCTTACTTCGTTTTATACATACGATAAAATTCGGTTAAATAGTAACGTTAAATTCTTTCATAGACAAAAAACCCACTATAAAAATAAATATATATCTATTGAAGAATATGTCATAAAAACACCGTTAAATTTTATAATAATGATATATAATTATGGGTCGCGTCCGCTGGAACTAGCCCTGGGTTGAGTTATGTTTGCGTTGAAAAAATGTTCCCACAGTCAACAGGTCGCCGGTAATTCCGGCCGGAAGTATGCCACGACCGATGGTCCTTGCCGCGAAAAAAATTTGAATGGAACACATGTTCGTACAGTATTATGATTAGCATCTTTCTATGTAAGATCACCATGGCAGGTGTTCACCGATTTTCTCCCACGCGAAGATACCACTGTATGATGCAGCATTATTTATTGGTGACCTATAACCCTTTATCACAAAGCGTCAAATAGGTCTAGAATTTTTCCTTATCGCTCTCTACTCTATTTGAGGCTTAGGAATGAAAGTGTAATATTGAGTTGTATTCCCAGAATGTTTTTTAGCTTTAGCAATTCTTATTATTCACGGCATGCAAAATCCAACAACTGCACGGTAAATAAAAATACGCGATGAATGTACAAAATGTATCAAATCGATTTTAAATGCGCGAGATTTAGGAAAATTCCTCTAAATTCTTGGCAATTTGCAATAGGTATATTAAAAATATAGGTTTACCGGATTATATCACGGCATATCAATTAAAATCTCGATTTTTTAGACAGAACTATAGTTTTTTAACCATAAAACCGATACAGAATGTTTTTAGAAATTCCTTATTTATATTTAACAGACTTTTTCGCTTTTAATTCTTTACACACCATTTGATTCGTGAGACCATTTTAGATACAAGGAATAAAATTCAGGATTATTATTTAACAAATTGAAAAAAGCCCTATACTATCGTTGAATAACATAGTGTAGTATTTCATATAAACGTATTTTATTTCCAGATGTCAGAAGAAGATTTGCCAGATTGCAGAGCAAGACAAGTCTGCAGTAAAGTCGACCTTTATGATTCGGCCCAGCCTTGGATTGAACGAAAATGTCGGTGTTTGGGACACAGGCCTTGTTCTAGGTGAGTAATAACATCTTATATTGAAATAATATCACACTATTAAAATAATTAACGCACGCCTATTTAGCATGAAGCAGATGACTCTAACATATTCAAGCATGTACATACTTTTCTCACACATAGATTTTGTTGTACGGATTACTAAGCGTTAACTTTCGATCTTACTTGTATAGCGCTGATCACTAAATTATAATGGGAAATTAAAGTTAGGAACGTCGGAGTCCATTTAACGAGGTTATACGACCGAATCAATGCTGGTGAAACCGAGCAGCACAGATAGAAAATAATAACGAACCCAAAGTCGCAACGCTGGTATTTATTGAGCCATTTACTGTGTAGTGCCCTAAGGTTATACGATCTTGCGAAATAAAGCAACACAGAGCTAGAAAGTGGTTTGCGTTACGATTATGTGGCCAAGAGTATAACGGTGTTAAAGTGGACATTTTACATTTCTAGCGATTATAAGAGACTAACTACTCCATTAACTTGTGCCGGCAAAACAATAAATATTTTAATGAGATAGCTAGAGCCCACATACATTTTGCAAATTATTCCACACATTCAAAGTAACTTTGCAATAGAATTAAGTATATTCTGCTACGTTCTTAATTTTATAATTTTTTATTTCAGTGATTTGTCGTCGGATGATAACCATACTCTCGCCGATAAGACAACACTATACAAGACCTGTGAACCAGTGAGGCGATTGCCAAAATGCCGGTACTTCAAGGACGCGGCATGGACCATATTCTCATTGCCAGATAGCAATGCTACCCAACAAATAGTTAATTGCCACTGTCCAAAGTCTTCAGTTACATATCTTCTTAAGAAATTGCCTTACACGACACCTAGCGGCGAACAAGGCAACCAGTATCAATTCGCGTGCTCGCCACAAAGCGTAAGTATCTTTGCTGTTGTAGTTTACAACAACACCACTAGATGGTACTTAAATATTTTAATCTAACTTACGGAGCTTTTATAAATATATAGAATCATTTTCTTTTTGTTTTCTATGACATTTGCATCTGGAATAAATGTTACTATTCATTTCAATCAAAAAATTTTTTTTTTAAATAACCTTACCCTTAACCAAAAATATTGCGGGTTTTTATTTTTATAAAACATTTCACAACAGTTTTTTGTAAACAAACTTGAAACTTGAATAAATAAATTAAATAAAAATTAAATTAAAAAAATAAATTGAAAATTATTTATATTTATTACAGCGATTGAGGTGTTCGCGAAAAGAACCATGCCGGCTATTCAGCGCTAGGCGTCGCCACGAACAGATAGACGAAGTGAACGCAAGTACAATCTGTCAATGCCCACGAGATCACACGTGTCCCAAACACCATACAGAACCAGGTGTGCTGCCAGGAGTCACCTACGTCGCTGAAGATATCCGCACCTACCACGGCTACTGCATGCCAGAACCGCCCCCTGATAGCTACAGGTTCGTTGGAGACAAAGACTGAAACACCTAGTCTAACGCTTCATACTTCGTTAAAACCTGTTCAGTACAAAATTATCGTAAGGATACGAAAATCAAATTGGTAAAGGTAGATTTAAAATAAGAATATACACGGACCTGAATCAATATAAAATCACAGATATTAATGCGATATATCTGGCCAGTTAAGCATTGATTTGTCTACATAGACAGCTATGATGACCTCAGTGTAAATATATGTAAGTTAAAATTGGTATTACATAGGAATTGTTTCTGTTATGTTTTGTAAATAATATTTTTAAGTATCATTCCAAACGGTTAGATTAAATTATTTTTATATTACTTGCCATACTGTATCTATTGCGTGCATTTCATGTAAACGACGAAAATGCAAAGGAATTATTTTATTTCTTTACAAGTCGACGATCCCAATTATGAGATTTTGTAAGGTTTTTTTATGGCCAAAAAGCCTATGTTATGTATAATGTATGTAATTATGTCACCTATATTTATTCACATAATTTTGTGATTTTTTTAGATATACAACAGCTATAACTGTATATAAGAAAATTACTAAAATAGCTGCAATCGTCTTGCTTGCACAATCATATTTCGTATATAACAGGAGTATTGAGGATTTTATGATTTAATCGTTATTTACATGCAAAATGTTCTAAAGATATAATGTGTACTTTAAGACTGTTGCCTTGTTTCAATGTCTTCCATGGACAAAGTTTATGTTTGCGATATTATTGTTTTAGTAAACCTTATTGTTAAATGCTAACTATTTTTACGATTGTGTTGCCTTTTGTATTGAATATAGCAATCGTGTATTTATGTAAATATGAGAAAATGTTAATATTTTGTATTATACCGTTGAGGTATGTCTTCCTTGTTTTACGTAGGTTAAGTTAAATTATTGACACAAAGCGATTAAATGTTTCAATACCTTAAAGGTTATTTCATTTTGACTAATCTAAATGTTTGTAAAAATTTATACTAGCAAATATGTTTGCTTGTTAAGTCACAACCATCTCGGGCATTTTCTAATGATCACACCTCTGTAAAAGCTCATCTTTTCGTCTTAGTCTGAACGCAATAAGAGACGGGGAGGCTCTACCATTTTTCACACCCCTTTCCTGAATAGGCACTGCGCCCTTATTCGCTTTCTGTAGCAGTTCACAGAAGGCAACCATAGCATTCCAGAAATAGGTAGAAAATTAAAATTTTGAACGCAACCAATAATAAGTAATTTGTAAACAACAATAGTTTACATAAATCTATGGAATATTGAAATCGCTACTTGCTTTAAGAATGCGGAAAGCTTGTTATAGATATAACTTTTGTCCAACAGTGTACAGTTCGAAATGTACAATACAAACGCTCCTACTAAATTGTAATATAAATCCTTGTAATGCCGGTGTAAACAAGCATCACGTGCACTTCCTTATAGGAAAACAATTTTACTGTATAATGAAAATATACAAGAAGGTTAGGTTAGGTTAGTAATATGAAAATTAATTAATTTTCTTTCGCGTAAAAATTCTAGTTGTAACGACTATTGTTTCTAGGAAGTTTTTGTGAATGGAAGGAAGTTTCCTAATCTTTAGTAAGTGTGAACGACAGAAATATAATTTACATTTAGAACATTAGCTGTGAAAAGGTCATAAAATCACAGTCGGGTCTCAGTAGTGGCGGAGTTACCAGCAGGCTGGAGCCTAGGGCGGCAGATTTTTAGGGCGGCCAATTTGGAAACCAATTTTTTTTGCATGAGATTTCTGCATGACGGTTTTCTGATGTTTTACAGATGTATTGCCCTCTACCCACACTTTGTATGAGTGAAAAGAGCGAAACTGCAGAAAGTTCCTCTACCCTCCCTCTAGCAACCTATACGTGTTTGTCCTACTACTGCTAACTGGATAGTTTGTGTATAATTTTAAGCTCAAGAAAAAACTCAAAATTGATTTTACGTGCAATGAAATTGTTGGATTCTAACAATAATCTAGGAGATGTCATTTGTAGAGGCAAGGGCGGCAAAAAAATTACAGCGTATACTTTTATAAAATTTGTAAATCGACGTATATCATATAATATAACATTATAATGAATTATGTTTAGAATAACCTTATGCTACAATAATATTAAACCGACTCGGTAATTCATTGTTGCATCAGTGCATTCTTTGTGTGAAGAAAATATGAAGGTTTAAAAAGCTACCGCCGCAATTTTTTCCCTAACCATTCCCATAACCAATTACATAGTAGTTGAATCCCGCAAAGCAAAGGTCCTGCGCATTACTCCGTAGCCAATCATTGATTGCCAACTAATAACCAAGAGACGAAAAACCATGCCTTCCGTTAATGCAGGACTTAATAGAGCAATTTGTACTTTATAAGAAACCTCTAGCATAGGCGTAACGTATAACAAATAACAATGTCTTATGTACAATATGTATAAGAAGCCAATGTCGTAGTGTAATTCATTAAATTCAAATCACAGTCAAGGCAGAGTCATTAGAGCAAATTGTGTCGAACGTTCTTTCTAAGGCACGAATATTGCACTCACTTGGACTCCGAATCTATGTGGTTCCTTGATTATGTATTTTCATAAGGTTAGCCTTTAGTGACTGACGCACGTGAAAACCATGCCGGTTTCCACACGATGTTTTGCAAGCAATAATTGCGGAAATGGATGAATTAATCCACTGCTAGGGTTAGGACGCACGACCTCAGAGTAAATCCCACACGCTCTAACAATACTCTCACATAACTCATGCTACGGGGATGTTTAAAGCTAACACTAAAACATAATACTAAATAAAAATTTAAGCAAACATACACCTTGTAGAGAAAAATCCTTAAGAGAATATAGTATTGTGTCAATCCTTCACTTCTTAGGAATGCATTAGTCTTTTGACCCGATCGTAAGACCGTGTCAGGCCAGCAAATAGCCATAATGCTATAAAATCTAGGTTTCCAACAAGTTCAAACAATCGGTACAGTTAGGTCACCACGACTTTACTGAATTAAACTGTAATCTTACTAACATCATTTCAATAATTCGTGATTTTCGCATCAATATGACATAGTTTTAAGAATCAATTGCGCTGTTACAGTCCCTATTTCAATAACAATAAGACGCGTTTTAGAATGTCTATTATATAGCTGATTAATACTTGACGGTTTTATTATATTGAAAACTCTGTTCAACATTATTTGATGTGTCATATTAACGCTATTGTGTTGGTTTCGCTTCACTAGTTGAGCTAATTTTGATAAATTTCGTATACAGATAATAAGGCTTTGGTTGAGAAAATTATATTATTTTATTAAACGTAAACACGTGTACGTAACTTACGTACCCACGTCTAAAGATAAGCTAAGGTAAGAATAAAATATTTTTAACAATGCAAGATCGTATATAAATGAAATATACATTTAATACTTCTGGTACAAAAGAGTATCTATACTAAATTTTTTTCTACGATATCCCTGTGAAGCCTGCGTCGGACGCTTTTTGGCGTTAGGGAGCATTCAAGTATACGTCACGCAATTTTTGGAGATTATTTACCCCCCCACGTAACGCGCCGTAACGTTTTTCTGTACCCAAGTATAGTAAAACGTTTCGTGGCCACCTAGTCACTCTTTATACCTAAAAGTTACCTAAAAGAAAAGTCGAAAATAATATTAACAATAACGCGTACCTAATTCAATCCCCGCCCCGCATCGTAACGTTTTACAAAAGGAAAAAACCGTTACCCCCCAAAATTCTTTACGTAATACTTGGACGCTCCCTTATTCATAATTTATAACCGTGAAGTGATCAGGCTTCTGTGCTTAACACGCGTCAGTTCCAGGAAAGTTGCCGGTTTTTCCGTAATGTCTATTTCCGTGAAACATTTGTTAATTCTGAAGAAAGAAAATTCTAAGCTCAAGATTAAGAGCTTCAGCAAGTTAACTCTGCTATTGAGGTAAAAGAATCTTTTTTTTTTAAGAAAATGTCATGAATTTCTTCTCTTTAGAAGACATTTTGTAATTGGGAATCCCCCTCCAATCATAGATAAGTTTCTAAAGACTTTATAGTTTCCCTGAAACAGATATCATGATAAGTAATCCCCTTGCGGTGAGAAATGTATGAGTGGAGCGGATTGCGGTTCAAAACTAGGATTCATTAGCGGAGCTTTATATTTCACCCAATTTCACCTTAATAACTCTGAACTTTGGCATACTCATATTCTTTAAGCGTATACACAAGAGAAAGGAGAATGTTCATAATTCTATTATAAAGAAAATACAAAAGTGATACACTGTATTAAGAATATTAATAGAACATTGTTAATGTACAGCGGGATATTAAAAATGAAGATATCTACAAGGGTCTTAATGTGGATACAGTCCTAAATACGGTAAAACAGTTTGCCTTAGCTCACCTAAACAGGGTACATAGCCATGTGAATGCTGAGGCAATCAAACTTCTTGATACAACAGGAACAAGACGCCTAAAGAGAACTAAACCTTTTGAGTTACAAAAACTATAGTTAATATTAGTACGGTGTTTCGGACTCACATAGTGCCAAAATATTATAGAACCCTAAGACTGTTAATGAACATTACCATAGTTTAAGCTATTCACTAGTATTGTAAGAAGTCAACATAATATTACTTATTAGCCATAATTATTGTGTAGGATAGATTGTAATTCATGTAAAGTCGCACTCTATTTAGTGAAATTTTATTTATTCTTAAGTGTTCAGTCTGAAATCTAGTAATTTTTCTATACGCGTATACAAAATTTTCTGGTACGGTAAATGTATTGTAAAAAATGGCAAGAGGCTCTAACCCTAATATCCTAGTAGGTTATTTATGAATAAATCAACAAAACGATGTATTAATTAATGCCATTTGGGAGGTTAGCTATATAAATAAACCATATTTCTTTCACTGTTTTTGTAAATAGGAAAAATAATCTCCGTATTAAACGTGGATTACATGAAAAGTACGATTAAACGCTAAAATACAGCGTTCCCTATTTGCTGACGCCATGATTGAATCCTTAATGGGAAGACCACCCGGGAATCAATTTTCCCGTAGTAGAAATGCGCTATTGACGTGAAATTCACTTTTTAGTGCCATTCTGTCTACGGACAAACGAGAAACTTAATAGCATTATGTCAAGGCGAAGGAAAATTACGTAGGCTTTTAATAGTTTAATAAACACCATTTTATGTCAAATTATTCAGTTTATTAGCTGTACTCATTTCATTAAGAGCAAAAGATAATTTTAAAGCACTTAGTAAAGATTTTAATAAGTTTTCAATATATCTAATCAGATATGGTTTTACCGTCCTATTCGTAATAATATAATTTAATTAACAACAGAAACTGAAAGAAACCGAAGAACAACATCCAATCTACATCAGTATTCCGAGAAAATTTTAAGTCTGAATTTCCATATCTATAAGAATACACTGACCATTTGGCAGTTAGAGTTTTCTCTTAGGTCTGATAAAGATAGTTTACTTCAATTGTTAATTAAGAAAAAACATCGATTCTTCCATCCATGGGGTTATAGTTGAGGTTCTAGATCAAGGCTGAGAACTACAGCAAGTTAACTCTGGTCTTGGTATTAACATTAAATACTATTAATAAAACCTTAGTAAAAAACTGTTAACCAACTAATGAAACTGAAAATAAATTAAAAGCCTCTCGTATGACAAAATATATATTGATAAACGGTAGGCTTAGGAGAATCTTATCATCAGAAAACCATTAATTAGAATGTTCAGTGTGTGTAAAATAAGCGTTGTTTCATACAAATAAAACTTATTCAAATATTGTGATGTTGTAGGCATTCGGTATCCTATAAAAAAAAATACTCTCTCTCTTTCTCTTGAGAATTTCTTTTTTTTTTAAAAACTATTCAAATTTTAAGAACGGAACTTTACAGTACAATGTGACGTACATGCCCCTATTGTATCGCATGTAAAAGTAATCAGGCGATTCGATCGGCAATCACTGGATAATGACAGGGAGTTGTTAGGTCACGGGACCTGAGATTATGAGGACAGAGGAATGATGAGTAAAAGTGTTTGTAGCATTCGCACGATTATCATCCCCATGAGGCTATTATTATGTTCTGTTATTTCCTTTCCATGAGAATCGGATACGCTTGAAATAAATACAATCAACCGAGCTTTCCACGCCTTTGATTGACCTGGACAATTTAGTTGGTATGGATTGATTTTATTTTATTTATCATTTGTTTATTTTCGAATTTAACTAAAACGTGCCTTCTATGCTGCAGACCATAGATGTTTTTAAGTGAGGCCGGTTTCTTAACTCTGTTCTTCCGACTTCTTTGGATGCGAACGCGCGACCTTACGGTTGAGTATTCGCGGTTTGCCAGCTAAGAATATATTTATTTATTTATTCACTAAAAACATACACTATCCTACTAAGCCAATGATAATATGATAATATTAAACATAAGATATCGCTACTGTGAACTCACTCTGCGTATATAACTATCACATAAACTATAATAATATATTCTAATTAAAATTTGTTACTATTGTTAGGTATAAAAATATGACAATAAAAACATGGCAGTAAATCCTCTTAAGTTGAAAAGCTCCTAATTCCAAACGGAAGAAAAAGTGCGCTTGTTATTCGCAAGCATTCACTACTGGTGCGGCATTGTTTCTATCCGATAAGAGAGCTATCTTGTGAGAAAATATAAGTAAACCACTTCATATTACGTGGTAATTTTAGCTGTAAACAACGTGAAAGTTCACGTTTTAATCTGATGTAATGGAAATATGATTATGGTGACCAATGTTTACTTACTCAATTTTGTTACATTCGAAACTTTATAATTTACAAATTTTTATTTAAGTGTATAATATTCCCATCCTAAGTACACAGTGCGCTACATACAGTGAGAAGCCTCAAGAAATAAATGTATATTTTTGGCAATATTAAGCTCTTTTAAAGGATAACACCAACATTACCGAATGAAGATAGGACGCCGGTTTAAAGCCATAAAGCTCAACATTTAAAGAGTTTAAAAAACTATCGAAGAAATAAAAACGTGTTTACTACTGCTAAGAATACTGATAAACATATAAAAATGTTCAAGTAAAAAACATCTTTCAGAGGGTAAATCAAAAACATTATTTCACGAGCCAGAAGTAAACCTGTAAGAAAAGAGTAATTGAAAAGAGTAATGCGCTCTATCTAATCTACGACTATGTGGATTTTACAGCGCCTAGGCATACCCTTCAGGAAACCAGATAAAAAAAAGGAAAAAAAAACACTTGCAAAAAATTCTAGATACACAAAGTACAGTTAGTCAATCATTGCAATTTTGGTCATAAAGTAACTAGTCATTAACGGGCCACTAATGATAAAAATTTGAACATCCCTAAAGAAGTTTCTCTTCCCAACAATCGCGGTCTGACAATTGCTTAATAACTTTCATTGTATTCTTTAAGAGCTTTTATGTTTGCTAATTCCCTTTAGAGAATCCAATAAGGCGATTTGCACAATGCTTTGACCAAGCCTTTTCTATATATAATCACAGTTTCTTTAAAGTAATTGAATGATCGTTAAAAGGAAAAGTTGCCTCGTGACATTCAAAAATACCTATAGACAATGGTGTGAAAGGTTCTAGTTAGGATAGAGGTAATGATTTTGAAACAATCGAAGTGGTCCATTTTGGCTATTATGTGAATTTTACTCGGCTCGTTCAATTATCGCTACTCGAATAGTGTCAGTAGGTAGAAATTGTTATTGCCGTATCGGTACGTTATTGTAGCATTTTTATATTTGACTGTTATTATCGGATTTTTTCCATCTTTAACAAAGAAGATTATCGATTACGTCGGTTGTAATGCTACTCTAAACAGATCTCTATTTGCAGTAAACTACGCTTTGAGGCTGATCTATTTTATGACAGTTTCCATGTCTTTTGGTGTAAGATGCTGCAGCCATTGTTAAGTTACCAATAACGATTGCAAGAAAGGAATATATTACATTTTTAAATTGTATATTTGATTTAATATTTGTATTTCTTAATCTAGTTTATTGTCGTTTCTCCCTTTAAATGTTGTGCACACTTGTCATTGATGCACATATGCATATACTGTGTTTTATATATCGTTAGTACGCTCTTTTAAAATAAATAAATATATCACATATCACTGATAATTTCTATGTTAAATACATAATTATATAGGATGCATTAATCTCCTAATTTATATGAAACAGTAAAAAAATAAAGGAAGTTTCATCTATTCAAACCTAGACTTGCCGTACCTTTGAAACTGGAAATATAAAGTTTAGTATCAATTTAATTAAAGTAATAAAATGATTTTATAATGACTTATTCAATATTTACTACCCAAGTAATCATAAGTTAATAAACATGAACACAAACTTAAAATTACAAAAGCATTAACTTCAATAAATGAATATTGCGAATCTCATCATTAAATAGAATCTTAAAAGTGCAATTATTTCAACTCTTGCAGAATAAACAATTTAACTTTACAATGCTTAAGTAGACCATGATGATGCATCGTGGGAGCTTAAAAAATGCAAATATAAATGAAGAGTTTAAGTTTAAATAGAGCGTGAAAAATGATCAATCTATGAAAATTACACGGATTGCGGTGACGCAGTTCAAAATTTATATTTGAGGTGTCGAATTTACTCTGAAACTATAAAATAAGTATTGCACAGCTAAGTAGTTTTAAGAAAAAAATACAAGTTTGTCGTATATTGCTGTATAAGTCAAATTGTATAAAAAATGTTTTTACTTTCCAAAAACTATTATGAAAAAAAAAATGTTTTTTGTAATTTCCGTCCCAGGTACCACTTGACAACATCAAGTAATTTTCTTATTTCGTTCACGTCTTTCACGTGTATCTTAACCACCAGTGGTTTCATAAACGAAATGATCACAACTTTCACGCGTATGCGTTTCCTGCGTGCAATTTGCGGCGCGACCCTATGAAATGAACCGGGTGAACGGTGGTGGTGCTGTCGATGCGCTAGCGCAGTCCCGCTCCGATCGTCAACGCGGCCGCACGCACGCCGCGACATGCCTCGTCTTTCGTACGTTATCCTCGCGCTCGTCGCTCTCGCTTCAGCATCCGAACCTTCAAAGCCGCGTCTTATAGATTTCAATCCCTGGTCATGGATCCCAAACAACCGAAACAAGTCGCCATCAATCATGGATTATTTCTTCCCGCCATCCAGAACCCCAAAGCAATCTAACTTAGATCCTCCGGCGGACCGACAGCCTCCCACAGTACAAACTACCATGGATGACGCTGCAACCATGACAACTATTAATGAGCGTCCAACTACTATGGCAAGAAAATCCCACAATAAAATTAAAACCACTATTCCAGCTCCTCGTCCTACAGCCACTGCTCCACCAAAATTAAAAAAAACTTCCCACAAGACTCTCCCTACTGAGACAACTGTTGAAACAAAAGTCACCCAAACAATTAAATATGAATCGTCAACTACTAAGGTACCGGTAACCTCGCGGCCAACAAAACATTACTCTATCCGCCCATTGCGCACCACTGAGACATCGTTTGTTCAGGAAACTGCCTCTACAATGAACTTGAACAGCGATATTACTGAAACTATTGCCGTTGAAACACTGGGAACTACCAATGAGATTGTGAAGGAAACTGTTGTGCCGACTCTGAGTACAGATCAGCATTCAACAGAAGGATCTTCAACAATAACCATGGACTCCACGACGTTTACTGACAGCACCACAGAACCAGCAGATAGCCGCGAAGGATACCTTCCGTTGAGAGACAAGCCTCAACAGACGCACGTAAAGATCAATGACCAGACTAAAAAAGAGGTAAGAGACAATTTTTTGCGAAATTACTAATTATCATACTAATAATATTAAATTAAAGACTAACTGAAAGTCAATTATTAGAAGTATTAGAAGAAATACAATTGTAAGCCTTTGACCGTTCAATATAAAAGGATAGAATTAGGTTGCGTTGAACTATTTACTCCTTTTTTGTTCCCACCAACATTATCGTGACCATCCTGGCACGACTCTCCTAACATGCCGTGTTTCAAAAATCTCATCTATTTCTAAGCTTCACGTGATCCTTTTTTTATTTCACAGTGAAAGTTAAAACAAAATAATTCAGTGATATAATATAAATATATTAGCAGCAAGATAGTTTGCGTGCTTTCATTTGCATTTTCACACGTATCTATAAACAGTAGTTACTATTGTCCGGAAATGCGTAAAAAATCTCACAACACTCTCAAATAAATATTCATAATTAACAAAGAAAAGTTTTACATACAAACACTTTTGAATAAATTATCAGGCGTCATTAGTTCTCTACAAAAACCGCGGTAATTATCGTTTAAAATGATCCAATGGTTAGGGTCAGCTCATTTGCAGGCGGGCAAAAACGCAGAGCTCAATAATTCTAAGTTTTGGTAATGAAGGATAGACAAGAGAAATGATAGATGACGGTTTTTTATGGGTTTTAATATAGATAATAGCGTCGAGATTTTTACTAATATTACTTCTTTATAATGAATACGAACCATTTTTTTTTCAGATTTGCCTTAAGAATTTTAATAATTAATTAACTAGGCACTTTACCGCCGTGAAAAGTTTAAACTAAATAAGGACGGAAATAAATTAAGTTATAATATGAATAATATGATTATTACACGGGCGTTTTTTTTAAAGTTAAACAAAAAAAAAAACTTTATTTTAAATTTTCGTGTTAATACTATTTGACCCGATATGTAACAAACATAATAAGTACCCACATAAATATTCATGATTTCATCTCATATAAGCATGAAATGCATAAAGTTCTAAAAATTTCTTAAAGGAACAAAAGGTCAAAAAGAACCAAGCGAGGCCCCAACTTTCATCTCATTAACGCTAAGCCACATTGAAAACCATCTTAGGATAAACAAATTTTCTTTCCGAACAATATTCTTAACACTTTCACTATGAGATAGTTCATACACTGAATTTTCTAAATGCCAATCAGTTTAATGCATCGTCACTAATAGCTTTTCAAATAGCTTTCCTCCGTATTGTTAAACCTAAAAAGATTTGAAATCGTTTCATTTCGTTGTGATCGTAAAATTTTATGTGCAAAACTACATCATTGGATAATGTCCGGCTGAGGATTTCAACTGAGACGCCAAATATTAAAACATTAAACACTCAGTAATAAAACGATACGGTTAACGAAATTGCATACAATTTCGGAAAGCTTTATACATTTGCGGTTAATGTGCTAAACATCACGTACAGCAGTCTCACGAATTAAAAACTTAATTAAGGAATCGTTTAGCTCACGGAATTTGGTTACGGAACATTTGAATCCGGGTAACATATTTTTAGTAGGGTCAATCTCTTTACTATAAATTTATTGACCCAGAGATTTATTTATTTAATAAATGTTGATAGCGAAAGTAAAAATTACTTTTATGGCTAGGCCGATATAATAAATAAGATATATAAGAGATTAATTATTTTGTCTGGTGGCAACTTTATACGGTGTTGTAGTAGTGTACATAGTATGTTAGTTCAATGTTCTTTAGAACAGGTGCAATCTAGCAATAGAAACATTTGAATTATAAACGTCAATAAAATCGATCTAGGAATTTGAATCAATGGTAATCGTGTCCAATTAATCAGCACGCATTACGGATAGAAAGTCGATAGTCGTATTTATATTACGGATTCTAAGAGAAAGGGTGTAGTTAGTACTTTAGGTACGAAAGCAAATAACTAGGTTGCTAACTGTGAATGAAAGTGTTTGTGTCAAACATTTAATATATCATGTATTTTCCCTTGAAATTAAATAATCTTTGCTGTGGCGATTGTAGACACACCTGCAAATGTTGTAAATGAATTTAATTCACTGCAAAATCCCTTACATAATTGCCGCCTTGATACATTTTCTGAACTCAAAAGATCTTGTTACTACTTAATTGTAGAAAGTATTGCTATTGTAACTAATAAAATTAGATCTGTGTGACATTACCTAAATCAATTACAACCTTAATTCTACTTTCATTCGCATTCTAATACGTTAAATAATATATTACACAACGCGATAATCGAAATAATTTCATTCACTTATCTCGAAGTGAATTAACACTCACTCCTTAACAATTGCGAATAAAAGCTTTTTGATCACGATTCTCTAAGACATAAGGAAAGCTATTTTAGAGATTAGAGATTGTATCGCCAATGAGATTGCCAAAATTGGGATTGAAGGCTTCTAGTTTGTGCGAGCAATACAGATAATGCGGACAAAGACTTTGATTATTGATCACACAATTATCATTTTCGTAGAATAATAATTATCTGAAACAACATAGAACAGTTTTAAACAAATATAATAATAATTGTGTATTGTGTGACTAATAAAAATGTATTGATCATACAATAGACAATCTTGAATTTAGATCTGATGATCTTTTAGTACGGTTACTGAACGAATAAGAAGAATCATGAAATGTGTATAAATATTAAAGAACTTTTTATGTTAAATCTAGTTGTAAGTGGTTTTACAAATTATTATCAATTACAACGTGTGCGTGATGATTTCGCGACAGCTCGCCAAAGTTACGGTTTAACTCTACGTGCCAGATTGTGGGTCGTCTATGTGTGTCTATGGATCAGGACAAAATGTGTTATCATAGCCTGATTTACATTTGCTGTATCATTATATTAACGGTCGGTATCAACGATTATGGATAAATTAGTTCAAGCATTTTTTTAAATTACACGAGGACTAGTTACTAAAACTTAGATGATCCAATAAATATCAACGTTATGAGTAATAATAATAAAGTCTTTTTGTTCATATCTTAAGTTCCATTTCAAATGGTGTTAGTATTTACTTATAGCTAAATGTTAGTCTCCTGTGGATATGGCGACACTCTTCTGAACGCCTCGTCCAACTCTTTCCACATGTCTCTATCTTTGACAATAGGCTGCCAGTCTTTTCCTGCTATTTCTATCAAGTCATTAGCCCATCTTCTTTTCGGCCTGCCCAGACAAGTTGTAAGTAATATTATATACAAATTATTGACGCTAGGCCTCATCATAGACTCAGGGCTAGAATACAATTCACGTTTGAAATAACACAATTACCTTTAGCAAGTAATCATAGAAATGAAACAGAGAAATGCACAAACCATTTACAGAAGCTTCGCAAATCTTCCACGGTGACACGCATTATAACAATTTATACGCTACTAATTACACGACAGTAATAATAGGTAATATGAAAGCAACAGGCTAGAAACACGAAGAGATGGACAGGTTCCGTGCGTGGTTGCAATTTGTACATCCGCCGTGCGGCGACCGACTTTGACTTCTCAATTATTAATTCAAGGCCATTGCTGCATTATTGCATAACGATTGATACGTTAGCCATTGATTCACTTACAACATCCGGAAATTCTATGACATGCCGTTATTTATGCACACCTGTGATCTATTAATTAATTTATTTATATATACAAATTAAATATATTATACAAAGTTACACAAGCTATTTATTCTAAAATACATGACAATTATGGTAAACAGAAATGTTACAATAATTTTACAATTTTAGATTTTACTAAGAATTTTTGCTTAACAATGCGGATTAGGTATTAGATAGGCACTTTCAGTGCATTTAATTTAATTTAAAAAATATATCAGCCCACTACCGAATATATCCAGTTCTGGATAAGTAGTGTTTATTCTGTTATATTCGCGAAGAATGAGAGGGGCCTGAACTCCTAGATTATCTATTAACCAAACTATACCCTTGCGTAGGTATTAGGACATTATAAGTTTTGTTTTGCATTCAATGCGTTTTGATTACACTTCACAAGGCATAAAACAAAAACGATGTATCAATAATTCAATAACTCTCAGTAATTTTCTTAGCAATATTAAAGAAATAATAACTATTTGGTGTAATACATTGGTACTGTGGTTAGATTAACCACTACAAGATTCAATCTCCCGTACAGGAACGTACGTTTTTATTCATATTTTATGGTTGGTTAATATAGTGTAATTTGTATTTTTCAATTACTTCATTTTTTACCCCTTTTTGCAATCATAAAAGGTGCATGCATGTAGTAATTCTTTTATTATTTACAATGTTATTATCTTAGTTTCAATCTCGTATAGGAATAAAATGATTGATGAAAATAAATTAATTACAACGAGAAACAAATTTGGAATGACCTACAAAGTAAGAATGTCACTAGTACCCTTACATAGTCTTATCTCCTCAAGTGTTAAGGAAAAACGCAGTGACGTGGTCCATAAACATGCCTTACGGGACTTAGGTAAGTAAAAAGTGGTTTAACAGTGCAATCGCTGTTGGAAATATTTTTTACAATGAAATACGTAATCCAAGATTTGCCGATAGCGGCTCACGTCAAGTGTTACATTGATTTATACAGATTCATCTACATAAGTACAGTTACGAATAAAAAGGTAATTGTACAATTTCGTAGGAAGTGAATAAAAATAATTTGTGCAAATTTCACTTGATGAAGTTGTGACCGTTTAAAATCGTAACTTTGTTATGACAGTAATTAAGAAAGTTCTGATTTTGTTACCTTGTATGTAGGTTAACAGTGCAATGAAGATAAATTAAAATGTACTATACAAATATGTTTCACGAAAGCGAAACTAACAACTTTATTGTAGAAAGTGTATGAAATCAATTAATCTGCCGAATTGTATTCGATTAGCTGAATTTATGGTATTTACAATTGTAATCGAAATGTTGATTTAAAGGTCAGAGTTCTTTAAAGCATAATACTACTGTTAGGAAAACGCAATTGAGCTAGCTTAGTATTTAATAGTTTTAG